GCATATCGTGGGATGGGTGTACACGGTTACGAAAAAGGTCCACGTCTCACTCGTCCTCCCACTTTGCTGGATCCTACAAGGATCCCATGTCTTTCAATGGCTCCAGTGGATTCAGTGTTCACGGAGGCGCTCATAATGTGGTTTATGGGAATCAAGTGAACTACAGCAGCCATATAATCAACTTCATAGGCAATTCAGGTAAGCGTACAAGGAGTTAAACTATTTTCCGTGACTCATTCCCTCGTTCCAGATACGGCCTTCCAGAGCCTAGCTGAACGAGTCGCGGTGAATGCCATGCATTACTCGGAACAGCGCTCCCCACCACCAAACTGTCATCCTGGTACTCGCACTGAGGTTCTCAAGTCGTTGGGTTACTGGATCCAGTGGAAGAGCACGACGAAGAAGATTCGAGTCCAATGGCTCAGCGGGCCCGCAGGCGTTGGCAAGTCAGCTATTGCTCAAAACTTGGCGGAGAAGTATGCTGGTAGTGGCTTGGCTGCGAGCTTTTTCTTCTCGAGAAATGATCCCAGTCGCAATAGGGTAGACCCCTTAGTTGCCACCATTACCTACCAGCTTGTCACCACAAACCATTTGAAGGACTTGATAGGCCCCATCGTCTTCGACGCCATCCGCTCCAACCCCAATATATTCCACTCATCTTTCGAAAATCAATTCCGGAAACTTATATTAGAGCCGTCTTCCAAAATCGATCCAGTAGAGTGGAAGAAGCTCCCTTGGCTCATCATCATTGATGGCCTAGATGAATTGATCGACATCACGTCCCAAGAGCGTCTGTTAGCAGTGATCCGCGAGGTTACAACGCTTCCATCTCCCATCGCATTTATTTTCCTGCTCTGCAGCCGTCCCGAACCCAGAATTCGCTATGCTTTTGACCATGGAGCATTCGGTTCTGTCCTAGGTCGCATTTCCATCGGGGACACGCCTGAATCGAACCGAGATATCGAAGTATTCCTGCGCGACATGTTCGCAATTCTTCGAGAGAAACATGCTTATTCCTTACGCCATACCGAGCCATCCTGGCCAGGAGATGATGTGATTCATCAACTGGTTCAGAAGGCTAGTGGACAATTCATATTCGTGACCACCGTCATGAAGTATCTCGATTGTGACGATGACCTCCCCTCCAAGCGCCTGGACACCATCCTAGGGAGCAACCTGATCGAACTCGTAGACTCCCCGTACCCCGAGTTGGATCAACTCTACAATCAGCTCCTCTCCAGTTGCTCCAATTGGCCGGCAACGTCCCATGTCCTTCGACTCATCGTCACTCCTCACACACAACCGATTGTGTCTGGGGAGCAGGTTGCGTGGCGGTCAGCTCGGGTTATCGAGGGGATTCTAAAACTCAGACCAGGTCAATTGGGCGCCCGCTTGGCCAAGTTGCATTCTGTGATTCATGTGCCAGATGATCCAGACTCCAATATACACATTCTTCATGCATCTTTTACCGAGTTCATGTTGGGTCGGCACCGTTCCGGCAAATATCATATCGAACAGTTCACAACTGACGAGTATTGGGATCGCATCTCCCAGTTCCTACTTCGCACACATTCTCTCTTACCGTTCCCGCCTTATTCGACTTGGAACGCTCTTCATGATACGATATCGTCATGGGACGCACTACTGGAGTCGTATCAATCAGGTCTCAACCAGTTAATTATCTTTTCGTGTTTGTCCTGGGACGATTTCTTGTACCGAATAAATCCAAGCCAAGAGCTACTCGAAACTTTGGACAAGTTTGACCCTTATCATGTTCTTACTATGATTCTACACTACCGAGCCCGTCGACGTATTGCACACGATATGTTCTTTGTAGATTGGGAATTCGCTATGGGATGGAACCAATGTTTGACTTGGGCGAAGGTATGTCACTTCCAGTTACAATTTTCTCCGTCTGACTTCGCTTTTAGTCTCTCGGGGAACGAACCCCTCGTAAATTTGTAGAAACATTGGAGACCTTCTATCGTGGCTTCTGCATCGGCTTTCATCCAAAAACGTCACAATATTGGGCTTATGCAAGTTCGGTATTGGAGAGTTACCTGTACCTCAAATCCTCCCATACTCGGTATTTTTATGAAAATATGTACCTGGGAGACCGGTTGAATCCACCATCGCATGCCATCGACCCATATCCCAATCCTTTCCCTTTCATAATACCTGCCGGCACACTACCGGTACTTCCATATGACTGGAACATCGTCGAGGCCACTCGTACTGAGGCTGAGGATTTTCATAATCTTTTGTTGACCCTCGCGCCCAATGAAGATACGCAAAAACTGATTCAAGATGTGTTGAACGACACTCAGGAGAGCGTCAGCTCCGACAAGGTGAAATTTGCATTTGTGCTATACTAGACTGACGCTAATGCTACGTGACTATTAGACAGACGAACTAAAACGACTCAAGAAAATAGTCTTAAAGCACAAGCGGGTAGCGAACTTCTTGCCGCCCATAGTTGCACCCTTGGAGACACCAGGAAGTGCTCAAGTACAAGCTAGGACAGATGCATTAGCATCAGCTGTAGCTCTGTTGGACGTAGCGGGCCAGCAATTAGATGGAAGTAGGAACTAAGAGGTGCATCGGGTTTCTATAATTGCGTGTCTGTTGTGTAGAGGGATGTTTTAGTGGCAGTGCTGGGTACCGAGTTTCTTCGCATGCTGTCGTCTAAGATACAACATCTTGTTTCTATGGTCGAATTAGACTGTCTTCACAGTCTCACAACTTCTGTCGAGACATGGTATACCTATCTTCGACCACGGACTCTGTGTGCTTCCCCCATACACATCAAGGTCCTAGGGATAACACCTCTGTCCATCCTCCGCGATTTGTTACCAGGGATGTAGGAAATACTAGGTGATCCGACGCTCTACTATGACGTGGACTTGAAAAGACACAAAACAACATACACACGAACTGTAGCACTTAGGTTGAACAGACTGTATCTTTATCAAAGACCAATTTCATTTTTCTGCCGAAAACTGCTTATAGTGTGCGTGGATTCTAAGGAAAGGCGACCTTTGTCAAGAACTAGTATCCACCGTACTTCTCTCCACCCTTTACGAACCTGTTTTCCATTCATGAGTTTGCAGTGTCCATGAGTTGATCGGGAAACGTACCGGTAGTCCCATCTTTCAATCTTCTCACTGCTGATCAAATCCCAATATGCTTTCGCGTGGTCAGGGCCACTAACAAGGAAGTCGCTATAGGGTGGTATCGCGCCATCTTCGCCTACAAAATGTGCGTAATGGAATCTATTCCGCTGATGAGGATCCTTTCGCCTTTCTTTTGTCGGGTTCTGGACTCACCTGACACCTTCCTTCGAGTATGTATTGCTGAACAGCTCCGCCAGGTGGCTTTCGACGACCTTTTGCGTGCTCAAGCTCACCAATCTCGTGACCGTGGCAGGTATAAACGGTAAGAGGTTGCCTGTGGTGATAAACGCCCTGGGGTTACTCTTGTGACCCTCTGAGCGGAATCCGGGTAAGGCTAGCTGGGCAGCGAGGAACACGTTCTGTCCAAAGATGACAGACTTGTTGAATCCTTCTATATCAAGAGATAAGGGATCTGATGGCTCCTTGGGGACTTCGAGTATTGCCGCTGGGTGATGGCACGGGTGTTAATCAACGCTCGCGCCCCATGTCAAATGTTAAACTGACCATTGTAAATCACGACATTCGGTGCCCCTAATTCCTTCTTGACTGTCTCAAAAGCCTTGGTGAGGCTCTCCTGGCTGGTGATATCGACTGGGACAGGGAAGAATCCATCCTTCTTCGAGGCTTCCTTATCAGGGTTTCGAGATCCGACGGCGACGGCGTAACTGTTCTCCTTGAGTTTGAGTGCTATGGAACGACCAACGTTGGCTCCTGCACCAAGAATGAAAGCGACGAGAGGTGAAGACATTGAGAATGATTGAAGTGTTGATTGAGTTGCTGAAACTTGCTCTTGCACGACCCAGCCTTTAAAAGAATCAATCAACAGTCAGTTCTAGCCTCTTGACTAAATCGAATTATGATAGATTGGCGATCATGTCTAGTGGCCTGTGAATCTGCTCTGTAAGCTTGTTGCATTGATGTTAGTAAGGCATGCCGCCTGAACGGTCAATGGGGTAGTCGCCAGGATTGCTAGATATGATGCCATTGGCTATCGTGAAATGGGAACAGGGGAATTCGATGATAAATCAAATGGCTACGCCGCAGCCTCGTGTCCGTAGGCAGATAGATGGCGACGGGAACTTCAATAGATGCTGCTTGCTAACCGTCTACGAATCTATTCATGATTTATTGAATAATATAACCCAAGTATCTCATGTGGACCAGAGAGCGTACCTAGAATCCCGTCGCTGAACCGTCTTCCTGACACTCAAGTCCCAATACGTCCTCTCATGGTTCCGTTCACGAATCAGGTTATCGAAAGAACAGGTCCATTTTGCAAAGAGTCAAGGCATTTGCGCACAATGACGATTTCGTTCCACGCCGTTACTCTTCCCAGCAAAAGGCAGTAGATTCACTATCACGATGAGCGCTTTGACTGTATCTGTGCTTGTTTGAGTGCAATCCAGGTGAATTCGATTAGGCCGCGAGATATACATTCTATCCGGAGCCGATAGAGGTACAGGGTCAGAAGGTCTTTTGTAGGTCAAATATCATTGCTATGAATGGCATGAGGATGATTGTTAAGAATAGTAAACGAAACTGACCATTTCAAGTTGTTCCAGCTAATCGAGAAGCACATCACTGGGAGTTAGTCAGATTTGTTCCCTGGGTTTACCGTAGCTAACCGGAAAATCATGCATTGTCATCGTGGATAGGAGAAGAGTTACTGTGAGAAAGTACCTCGGGCTTGGGGGGTTGCCAACTGATGTGATAGGATACCAGCTAACAACATATTCACGAATGAGATGTCAACGAATAACAATTTTAGAGATCAGAATAAGGGATGACTACTTAGAGGTCAATGAGAAAAGAGAGACAAAAAGGAAGCTCCCTGGCTGGGAGTCGAACCCAGCTTTCGCGCGGTCCGTATGACAGGCGCGTGTACTAACCGATATACTACCAGGGATGCTGTAAATACGTGCATTACATACTATCTTCAGATGTCTTCCGGCAGGGCGAAGTCTAGTAGTAGCATACACAGTCCAGATTGTCCTTCATATATTCTCCTCCGGTGACATAGTGTCCATAGCAGCATGTGAGCTGATATTTTTGAATAACCTGATTCCCTTCGCCGTTGTACGCAATCCACCATACCTCGATCTGTTACAGCCTTTGTAAAGCAAAGGATTACTGTAGATTGCCAGTCGCGGTGAATACCCTTGATGTTTTGGGAAACGAAACCCTGAAAGCTCGAATTGCGCAACTAGCCTGTATGTAGAGGAGCAGATCTGTCGAAGGGTAATGAGAGTAGACTATTTGGATTTTATGAAGTAGCTGAACCAGCTGCTGAGAAGCGTTCGATGCAAGGTCACTCGAGCTCTACACAACAATCACAATATCAGTCTGTAATGTAATTTGAGCCAGACTTTGTGTATGTACCTGCTGAATCCCTGTTTGAATGTCAGTAACACTGTCAGGCAGAGATGCTGATGACGGGAGAGTTCATAGAGGTACAACGTGAGAAACTTCAATAGAACACAGGTCTCATGCTGACATGCTCTCACTCCCTCGACTGCCTATAGCACGATGTGAAATCCACAAAATCTGGCGGAGAGCATACTCAGATTCGACCTCCGACTATAGTTCTATAGTCAATTCTTCCGCTAAACAAAGCCATCCAATTCACGAATCATCGGAACCCTCATTCGACCCCAATGCGAGCCCTTGGCACTACCGCATAAGGAGCCAGGCCGATTGGCCCTATCTCACCCCGATGCAAAAACTCCACCACGAAATACTCGCCTACACCAACTGGAACAATCCGACGAAAGCAGAATTACACACAGGACATCAGGTTTTGAACAAGGTGTTACATGCTACGCGCTGGAACGAAAAATTATCGAAATTCGATGTAAAACGGACGGACGTGCAGGTCTACGGAAGCGCAGCGATGGGTCTTCGGCTTGTAGGAGGAGACTTTGATATTGGGATTCGACTGGATGAAGGGGCGGATAAGGCACTATTCCTCAGTAACCTTGCACGGTCGTTACGACACTCGCCAGACGTTCGAGGATGTTTCTTCGTCAAGAAAGCCAAGGTACCCGTCATAAATCTCCTTGTTAAAGGAGCTATTCACGTCGATATCACGATCACCCCGACACCCAACTATCCAGCAATGATCACCGAGAAAGTCACAAGCCACATGCAGGAGCCGAGTTTGAGGGCAGCGAGACCGTTGATCCTCGTGCTAAAGTCGCTATTGAGGGCTCGTGGGTGGGGATTGAATGAAGCAAGTCAAGGGGGATTAAGTGGGTACGCGTTGACCGTGATGGTCTTGTGGTATCTGAAGGTACGCCCAATTCGTAGCATTATTCTGTACCAGCTAACAATGCGTTCAGAACCCCGACGTCCCCTATAGTTTTGTTAGAGTGCTTGGGCCTCACACCTTGGGCCTAGTCCTCAGTCACTTTCTCCGATATTTTGGTGAAAGATTCCCTTACAAAGAGTACGGAATCACCCTCGAAGATGGCTACGAGAAGGGACTGGTACCCAAGTCCAGTTTGGTAGGAACCTCACGTGTCCCGGAGACGGAGAAATTTTACATTCAGTGCCCTGTGATACCTGGAAACGACCTCGGACGGGCTACACGACGCGTTAAAGAGATACGCAAGATTTTCCTTGACACGTATGAGCGAATCAACGCCGGTCAAGGCTTGGTTGAGCTGGGGTTTGCTCAGAACGCAGATACCCTTGGCTACTGGAGAAGATGGAAGCGTCCAACAGAAGAGGTGGATACGGAAGCACGGGGTAGACGTCGGGAGGTTAGCGAAGCATCCCAAACAAAAACGGTACCGGCGAAGGAATCAGGAGCTGCTGAACCCGTGCATAAACCCCGGGGGAAACGAGGAGACGCAACGATGCAGGAAACGCAGCGGCCCTAGAAGTTTTGGCATCTCTCTAAATAAGTGGTGATTGGTTCGTATACAACTATTACAAGCCAGCTTTACTGCCAAGCTTCGACTACATTACATAGATCGTTGGTTACAGAGATGGTAATAAACGCGCGGGGTATCTCCTTAGACCCCAAATAAGACCGTTAAGTTTCGTGTGTACATTGACTCCGTCTTGACTGAAACAGCTCAGTCGTCTTTGGGCGGGGTCGTTGGAGGAGGAACTGCATCCGACACCATCGCCACAACCTCCGCGCCTTTCAGCTTCTCTTTATCCTTCTTGCCCTTCTTGGGACTGTTGAGGAATCGGCTCTTAGACCATTTGGCCTACAACGATTGCATCAGCGTCACCAGAGGTGTATCATGTAGTTACTCAAGACTCACGCTTTTCTCAGGCCTCTCATTCTCCTCTTCACCATCCGGTATTTCGATCTCTTCGCCATCTCCTTCGGCTTGAATGTCTGCCTCTTCCTTGATTTTACGCGATTTCTTCGTGGTCAAGCGGCGGAGTATGGGTTGCCAGCCTCGCTAGATGAAGAATGCCATCAGTATACGTCTGACAGAGATCAGAACAGCGACATACTTCGCGTAAAATGTCTTCTTCCTTCTTCTCGGGCTCTGGCGGTGGAGTTTTAGGTACTTCTTCTTCAGTAGGCGTCACTGGTGCTGTCGATGTTGCAGAGCCTGAGGTGGATCTGAAGAATCCGAAAAGTCCGGCTCCGTTGGCATTAGTGGGCGGAGGCTTCAACGAATCGGAAGTTTCCTAAATCATTCTTTCAGAACGCGTTGAAGATACCAAGTAGGAGGAAACTCACTTGTTTCCCTTCAGATACGTCATCTGCTGGAATACCGTCTACAGCATGCCCGTTGGCTGCTCCTCCAATGCCATGAGACCTGAGCCATTCTTTCGCTTTCTCAGGACTGAATCCTTCTTTGACGCCTACAGAATCCAGTGGTGGCTTTCCGTCTCTAACGTCGATAGTCGTGATGACACCTTCCTTCATACGTGCTTCGAAGAATGCCTTGAGTAAAATTGACTGAAGGCTCCCATCTTCCTTCCAAGGCCGGACTTTGACGAATGTCCCTGATCCCGCGGGTTCTTCAACGAAGATCCGCAGGCTGTACCGGACTTTGATGGTCTGCAGTTCAAGAACGGATTCAAGAGTAGCATAGTCCATCTTGTTGACTTGTGAAGGTGATAAAGTAAAGTTTCGTGTCCATCCGTTACGTCTGCACGAGTGCATCAGCTCGCAAAACCGCTGGTGAAGGAAGGGGGTACATACATGGCCACAAAGTTGAGATTTCCTTCTTCATGTCCCGGAAGCGTCATGATGGTCGTTGGGGTTCAAGTTGAGCGTGAATACGAGTTAAATTTTTTCCCTTGTGGTATATACATATTTGAATGATTTGATGGCGATTTAAACGCCTGTGGTTTCCAAGTGGTTGCCATGGCGTCGACCTGGAACAGGAAAATGTTTCACCTTCACCATAGCAGACTAGCTGACACGAGTTAGATCGCCTTATGAACTTGCGCGTAGAAACAAAAGGGGTAGAGACAGGACAGGGAGAAGGTCATCGGGTGACAGGTACGCGTAGCAGTTGTGCTGGTGAACCATGTTGGGCTTGTGATTCTGATTGAGTAGCTGAACCTTGCATAAGGGAAAAGTAGCGTGTTGACAGCTCCCTTGTTGTAGGATGGTAAGACCGAACTCGAGAAGGTCCGTGGAGAGCCGTTGCGAGGAAGAGGAAGGAGCGCGAGTCATCGCGGAACTCATGACTGCGACCTCCGCGTGACTTGTAGCGCCCGGCTCTTTGACTCAGTACAGTCTGCTACCGTGACAGTACTTCGGAATTCAGCGAAACCAGAGACCTCGATTCTCAAGCTTCAAGAGTCAAGGGTAGAATGCGACAGGGTAAATCAAAACACTTTCTTCTACATGTTACTCGCGAATGTAATACATTCTTCCAAGTTCACCTCCATTTCTTCTCCAGCCCTTTGGCCAAGCGACTTCCTTCGCATCGTTCTCGCGACCGGAGACCAATCGTCCACAAACACACACCCAGAACGTGCTATCCACCCATTCTCAGCCTCCCCGACCTAGGGTTGAATTATGCTCCGCTGTCCTCGTCCCATCGGTCGATTAACAGCGTCATAAGCAGCATGCAAGCTCTCACCTACTGGCCCATCGACTTGAATCACACCCAGGCATATCAAAGTCAAGGTTCTTTTGGCTCACGCATCCCGAGTTTGGATCTCCAAAGGGGAGAAATGTAATGGGATATGGTGTGTGGGCTGGGAGTGCGTTTTTGAGAAGGTATACAACGTACACAACCATCCGGATTGTTTTCTCTCATCCACCGCCGACAACTCCCTACATCCCTTTCACCACCGGACAGCGGATATCAAGAATTCATGCACAAAGCCTGAAGACGATCCAGCTCGACCTGTGGGGACGAACATATGGGAGAAAATGAGCGCAGCGGGTACTGCATCTCTGATAGCTCTTATTTGGTTAGTCCAACTCTTCCTCCTGTCACCTTCAATGTTCCAATACTGACGCTGTCACCATTAGGGTCTTGTTCTCAATTGCAAATAATTCAAACACGGCGAAGAGCATCTTCAAGTTTACGCCGTCCTACAGATCCAACACCCCCGCCATTCATCACTGGTGTGATGACCAACCCACCATATCGTTGGTGTCGCTCCTCCTCTCGGCCCGACCATCTCGTATACCCCAATTCTTAATAATCAACTACATCCTCGCACAAGCTTACTATATCACCGACTACTACCCCGACGGTAGAGCCAACATGCCGTGTATCCCGCAACAGAACGAGCTCGTTTTTACTCGAGCAATGTGGAATACGTACACTGGGCGGCAACGGTTCCGAACGATACCCTGGTTGGGCACTGGAGCTCTAGGTAAGCCAACCCGTACATCTTGATGTCTTAACACTGAAAACGAACCTAACAGACACATCCCCGGAACACTTACCACCGAACTCCACTGCGTTA